AATCAAATATTCTCCCAGGAAAGAGTCTATAAAGAGTCTATCTTTGACAAGATACAAAGTTTAAACATTTACCATTCAAAGCAATTACTTTTGCAGTGACGAAAACTCTAGCAGCCGGGGAAGGGTAAAGAAAAGTTGGAATGTTCCTATATCTAACTACTAGTAAACGTAGAATCAAAGTTTTACTTTGAACTTACAACTGAGAATTATAATAACTATTAGCAAGTTTGGCCCCATAGTATTCTGCCAAATAGAAGCAAGAATAAGAGCGATTTTTGATCGAATTGGTTATCCAGAGAAGAAACGACATTTTCACCTTTAGAGTTTCACCCTACAAGCAGAATGTAGAATGGAAAAAAAGATAAGTACATCCTGTTCCGTGAATCTCTTGAAAGCAGAACGAGATTTTAAAAGCGTCCAATAATATTTATAATTAAAAGGGCACTGATCTAAACCTGAAAATAACGAAAACTCTTACGAGAAATAACTAACCGCCTTCAGCCGTATGGAATTGGATGACTTCGCTCGGTTCTCCTTCATGAGCACCATTTATCACCTACAAGAACTTTGAAGTTTTTCACACTAAGTCACAAAAGGAGAATGTCATCATTTTTCAGTGAAACTCAAACAGCAAAACTTCTACAAAGCAGTATGGAAAGGACAGACTTCATGCAGAGTAATGGAAAAATTTTCTCATAGTTTTATTGGATAGCGATGAAGCATGCGGAAAATCAACTAAGTAATCTCAGACCTGTATCGTCGCATAATTCTGTGTATCTGGCTTTAAATCTGTGATAGTTCCAGTGGTGGCTTTCGGGCCAAACACAACCGTTTTTCTTCTGCTTTCAACAGCTCGTTTGTTCTGAAACATATTCTGCCTCTTTGCATCCATATATGTGAACGCACAATATGAAACTTACTCTGAGTGATCTTTTAAATCGGAACCTTGCCTCAACCTCATTGGTCTGCTCCTCTTCTTCCTCTTCTTCACCTTCGACTTCATCATGCCAGTAGGTAATCTGATGCACATTATTATTAAATCCTTTGAAAAAAGGGAAGAAGCGCTAATAGGATTTATCACACCTTATATCCAGTGAAGTTTCCATTCGCAGTCTTTGGATCCACAGGATTCCATGCGAATGTTGCTGTGGTGCCGTCCTAGAATTGCAGATGCAAGGAGTGTTCGATTAGTCATAAAAAACAAAAGTGCCTAATGACTTTCGAAATAGGCTACATTTTTCGTGGAATGCGTCTTACTTTGCTGACAACTCGGAAGCCGGTAGGGATACTGCTGGGAACACCTTCTCCGGTATAACCTTCCACGGTTTCAGGAACAACGTTTGCTGTACCCTCATCATTAACGGCTTGTACCTAATATATAATTGATTGTGATCCGAGAAAATGGCAGAGTTACAAACACATTAAATCTAAAAAACGCCATGAAAAACTATTAAAAATAGCTCTGATTGGGAAAAAACCACATTGATAGATAAGTAAAACAAAAAGCTCTTAAAAAATTAGATAAAAATCTGGCAATAAAAGGATAAACTATGATAATGAGACAGAACTTAGGACTATGCTACTCACTTGCACTTCGTATGGTTGGAAGGGCTTTGCGTCTTTGTCATCATCCAAAGTTATCGTGTAACGATCAGCAAATGGATCGTT